CATATGTAGTTTATTGTATGTAAATATGAAACATAGCGAATGAAGTAACTTACCTTTAAAATTTCTTCTTCAGTTCTAAAATTTCTATATAGGCTCATACAAATCACTTTGCTTCTTTTGTTGTATGCAATAATGTGTTTATCTTTGTCTATCAGTTTTCTTTTCATGCTTCTAGTTGTAGGACCATTGTTGTTAGCCTAATATGAAATTAAACTAATATAAGATGACAATATTGGTACAAAAATTCAAATGTGAAATTTATTTAAACTTGACAGTTTACTGGAAAAGGTTATGACTTCGTAACTAGTCTCATTCTGGTCTCGATGATACTTGATCCATAATTGATAATGATATCCTAAAATTGAAAACAAATTAGAGATAATATATTGTAAGTAATTAAGAATTTAAGATTTATTTTATACCTGACGATTTTCTGAAAGAGGTTCTGAAAGTTGGCATGGTCTCATCACTGTTCCAGTGGAATTTGCTCCCTTATTGGCATTCGTATCCTAAATGTGAAGAAAAATATGTTAATGATTGTTGACTATAAATAAATATTGTTTACCTGTCCAACAGTTTGGTTAGAGTATTTTTTAGGACAATTAACCTTCCTATAACCCATTTGTATACACAAGCTACATGTCATTTGTAATCCAACTCTACTCTAATGTTTTCTCAAAGAAACACACTTAGCAATAACATAATTTCTCACTGCTTCCTTGAACTGAGTGTGATCTGTAAATCTAAGTCTAACTTCCCCCAATGGAAATTTACAAGCCTCATTATATGCATTCCCCACTCTAATGTTTCCTTTGTATGCTCTAATACTCTGTCATTCTCATTATCTGTATCATTATACTCTCCTGGATCATCCAACTCTAAGTAATCACTTTCAAGACCTTCCAATTTACCAGTTGTCTCTTTTATTCTATATGCTTCTACTGCATCATTTTCAACATCTATATCATCAAAATTTTGACTATGACTGTCATTATTTGTATTCTCATGACCTCTCAATGTTTCCCTAATTTATTCAACTTCATCTACATCAGAAGCTATTTCAACATCCAACAAAAATTATGAGACTCAATGATGTTTCTTCCTTAGCAATACCAACTTCATAGAGGTCTGCATCATTATCATTGATAATATCTTTAATTCCAGCAGTGTTTACAGTTTCATTAAAAACCATTGTTACATTTTTCATTCCATCATTTCTCTTCAAAACTAGTTTCAGCAGTGTAATAGCTTCATCAGTTCCAACAATTTCCTCTTCAACAAAGATCATTAATGTGCACAGTGACCACACCTTCAGTTCTACCATTACCCTCAACAATGTCATCATTGTTTTGGCTAGAAGAACCAATACCCTCAACTACCTCTTTACTTCTTTTATGAGCTTCACCTACCACATAATTTTTGTGTAGTCCACATAAAAGTCTACTACACCCTTTCTGTTCAAAATACCTAAACATTGCCTAACCAATTTCATCTACCACTATCACCATGTATGTGTTGAATGTAACATCTGGTATCTTATAGTACATCCATGAATCAGATGCATACCCTAGATCTTTCATATTCCCAATTAAATTCCGATAACACAATATATCGAGATCAACTTGAAACTTTTCAACTTTTCATCTATATACTAAATTTAGGTGAACCTACAAATTTACCTCCACGATGATACTATAACACAAAAAATTCTAGTTCGATACTCATCCTGTAACATAACACCCCGATGTTAATAAACATATTAACAATTTAATAATAGCATCAAGTTTTAATCATCTTAAATCAAATTATTAAAGAAAGAAAAACAGATAATCTTTATATTTTTAAAAAGGAAAAATATGGGGACCATGGCAGGATCTAAGTCCCTTTTCGATACTTTTTGGGTCAAAAGCATGGGACCATAGGAAAAAGAAAGGAAAAAAATGGCCATGGAAAACTGTGTGTGAAAGTGTATAACAACCAAAATAAGACAATTTTTTTGTTGGTGTTCGATTAAAAAATTCAAACATTTAAAACTGTCTCAAATCAACAAAATCTAAACCCAAAACACTGAAATACTACTTAAAACCCTAAAACTTACCGCTTTTTGGTTACTTTAACCAACCCTCAAACTTTCTCTCTTGATCATTCGCGAATCTTCTTCCTATCTCTCGCTTGCTTTCAATTTTTTAGTAGGTGTCTTGCTTTCTCTCTCGATTTTAGGGTACATGTATGATTTTGGGAGAGTATTCAATTGTGTTTTTTGGTTTGAAGATGGATTTTGGAGTTTTAATTCAATCGTGATTTTGGGAATTTGTTTTACCTCTTCGTGTTTTTAGGGATTATGAATAAATTAGAGTTTTGTTTTATAGCCCGTTAAATCTTTACTTGTTTTTTTTGGCTATGTCAACCTGTTTACACATCAACAAAGATCTCACGTGGAAACAGCTGGTGGCCACATCATCAGAACTAACGGTTATGTTAGTCAAGACGATCAAAGGTAGACATTGATTAAATTAAACACTTCAAGGATTAAACTAATGCGAAAATACGATATGGGCGAAATTGATAATTTTGTTCTACTACAAGGGCATATGTGACCCTTAAGCAGTAAATAAAAGAAAAGACAACAGTGGCATGGCAAAAGTTGTCGCTCTCTCTGGTTTCCAAACATACTCTTCTCGTTCATCTCTCTTAACTCTCACCTATCAATATATCATCTGATTTTTCCTTTCTCCATAGCACGTTACCACCAAAATGAAGAGACACATGTAGAGTAATATGTACTTGAAAATTTTAAACTTTTATAAATTTAAATATTTTATTTATAATTTTTAAAATATTTAATTCTATTTCTTAAGTCGATTAAGTGTCCTGCTTTCTTTCCGAAAAGATCTTGGCTCGAATCCTTTTAGAGAAATTTGATGATTACTACGATGTTTTAATTATTCACGTCATGTATAATTACCATATATGGACGCTTATTTGTTCAGATTAAGTGTTTTACGGGGCAAACTTTGAGGAGCGTTTTGAAGGACTTCTATTTGCTTGGAGTCAAGGTTATGAGCATTTATCTCTGTAGATCGATATGTTGACGCTTACCGATTTCTTACTGATCCTTCACTCATGAGTCCGTAGCTTTGGTTAGAACCATCTCTTCCTTCTAGCTAAAGCTTGGTTTGTTGATCTTACCCTTATCCGTCGAGAAGCGAATATGCAGGATGGATGTATGTGGCTCCCTAGGAAAACCACTATACATTTATTATTTTAGAAAAATGTTAAATATAGTTTAATTTGTTAATAAAAATGGAAAAATAAATTTTACATACCCAAAATTTTTAGAGTAGAGTATTAAATTTCAAACCCCCATTTTTAATATCTAGACTACAAACATGTCAATTGATTTTATGATGAAACTTGATACTCACTTAGACATGGTTCTTTTGAGGTGTTCTTTGATCTCCAATAACACTTCTTAAGTTATGACATAAAGACATTTTCAGATTTTCTTATGTCCGCTTAAAGCAGTTTAATGTAATGACTACAGTCTCATCTTTATTAAAAAAACTCAGATTATAATTGAATAAATTAAAAATTTATTAGTATGAATAATATAACTTATAAGGTTTAGTGGTATCTACTGCAATTATCCAAAAAATACAGAGAAATTGACTTTATTTTAGGGTGCGTTTGGTTCACGGAATGGAAGATTACAGTGGGAATGTAAGATTACCAGGGAATAGGATTACTGAGAATGTTGTATTTTGTGTTTGGTTGGCTTAACAGGAATGTAAGATCACCGTGTTTGGTTAAAAGAATAAAAACTTATTAGAATGTATATTTGACCAAATTGTCCTTATTATTATTTTTTTTAACAAGTTGAAAAATATTTATATATTTCTTTAAAAATTTAAATTCATAAATTTATATAATTTTTTTTTACAAAATTAAAAATATAAAAAAGTTTAATGAAATGGTAAAATTTTATTTTAACCTCTGAACTTCATATAAAATTTAAGGGCATTTTAGTCTAAAATGCCGGGAATCCAACAATACCTAAGGAAAGGGAGGCAATGACATTCCCAATAATATACTCAAAAAATCTATTATTGATAATCTTATATTACCCAGAATGAGATTTCCGAACTAACCAAATGAATATAAATTTCATTATCATAAAAATCATACATTCAGTCTTATCCAAATTCCAATCAGATAACTCCGACGTCTAATATTGTCGCGAAACATAGAAATCAACCGCAGCGCCATACCCCATTTACGACCTCCTTTCTTTTCCCCCTTATTCTTCTTCGACACCAAGAAATCAGATTCCCCCTTTCGTATACCCTAAATTTTGTATGGATTTTTTAAAACAGTGAAGTTAAGATTACATTTCCATTTGTTTCCTGGATTGAAGTTCACAATATCTTAAAAATGGATTAGTTAATGTTTCTTCATTGAGATCTTTTAGGGTTCCTATTTTTCGAACTTTAATTAGAGACGATTATAAGCACCGTTTGTTCATTTTAGTTTATCCTTCTGAAGTAACAACAAGAGAACAGATTAAACGATTTGTAACTCTTCCAGAGTTTCTTCATGGCAGAAGCTCCGCGTGGCCGTGTTACTATCACTCTCGGACGTAGTGGCCAGGTATTTGTTTTTGTTCATTTCGTAGTAATTACAGAGGTTCCTTAAGTATTTGTTTGGTTCTGGTCAAATGTAGGAAATAAGCTTGAAATTAGCAGGAATTTTCATTTGAACGAGCTGCATTCAGTTCGACTTTGAACGATTTAGTTTAGCTTGGTCGGATTTCACTTATTTGTTTTTACAGAATTTAATTCCCCCCCCCTTTAGGAAAGTTAGTGTTGTTCCATTTTTGTTTGTGTATGTTGGCTTGTTGTGAATCTGAACTTTATTGATTATGTTTCTCTAGGTTGTGAAGAGGTCGGGAGCTGCATCAGATTTGATCTTTTGATTCTCATCCTGTTGCTGGAACTAAGCGTTCTATAAGGGATAGGTTGGGAGCAACGTAGATAACTTGTTGAGTCAGCTAACAACAAGGTATACTTTTAAGAATTTTACTGCGTTTTAGAAGCATTTCACAATCTTGCTTTTGAACGCCCATGTTTTTGCAATGGCTATTTAAGTGATGTTTTCTGTTTCCTAGTGGATGATGACAACAACAACGATTTGTATTTTGTAGTATTCCTTGGTTATTAGCTCCTTTATTTTAGATTTTTTTTATTTTAATTAGTAATCTGATACTACAGGTTTTGATCTTGCGATGACTATTATATTGGACATATTCACCTTATTTTTAACATCTTTCCTATAATCGGAGTTCAGGAATGCATAAGTTTCCACCTTTTAATGTTGGATATCTGTGTTTGGCAACAATACTTTAGGAACAATAGAGTTGTACTTGTAGCTGGATAGACCATGAGTGCTAATCCTGCCTTCTCTTCAGTGTTTACATTCTATGCAAGTAATTTCTTATGTTAAGTAATAGCAGAGTTTTGTCCTTTTCTACAGACAAAGAGGTGATGGTCATTCAAGTTTCAATGATAGTGGTTTAAATGGTAATTGCCCTTCTGCATTGCAAAATCTTTATTTTTATTTCTGAACTGATGTTAGATACTAACATTTCTTCATTGGGAAAAAAAGATTTTCACATTGGTAAAGATGACCTCCGGTTTTAACTCATGCAAAAAAATGTGTTTCGAAGGGCTCAAAAGGACAATAACCATAAGGGCATGGACCTTCGCCAAAAGTTGTCAAGAATGGGACTGCCTCCACCAAGTTCTTATTCTCCTTGGACATTAGATCATTAAGACAAAGATCTCCTGGAAGAGTGATGAATGCCTCTAGGGGTTTGTCTCCCTCAAGAAATGTTGAGCTACAAAGAAGGCCAGTAAACAGGACACCGGATGATGTGAGGATGGGTTCATACACAGGGAAAGCTGTTCTTGATGCGCCAAAGCATGTGAATGCAGCATCTTTTGTTACGAAATCTACATTGCCTGCCACTTCAGCTAAGCCTATGCCCCCAGGGCCCCCAATTCCAAGTACAATTCCTCCAAGCAATATGTACAAAAAAGTTCATACTTGGTACGCACTATTTTCGCCATTCTACCAGTGAATGGTGCAGCTACATATATGTCTCTGACAATATTTTTCTTGTATATCTTCTGCTTATGTTAATGAATCATTTGTTCTTTTACCATAAAACAATGGCATAGTTTGCTCAGTGATGTTTGTCATGTTTGCATTTCTTAAATTGTCAAAAGAAATGTGTTATATTATTGCTGTACCATTACGGCTGGAAAGTGAGGATAAAAAGAAATTTGTTTGGGTGTTCCAATCTTGTTAGATTTGTTATCAACACTTTTCAGTTGTGTAGAGGGTAATTTGATGTTCAAAATGTTGAAGAACCAATTATCTTTTAGAAAAATAATATAATACTACCTTTTTAGGTATTTGACATACTCTTGCTTGATCACATACCAAGAAGTTCTTGTTACCTGTGGATGGTTATTGGTTCGGTCACTTTTGGTTCGGTGTAAGTAGAATAAAGGCTGCTTTGAAGCTGTATGTTACTTGCCCAAGATAGTTTTTAAATTTTTGGAATTTGAAGCTGTAGGTGCTGATCTTCTCTATGAACTTTATTTTTGCTTCTGCATATCAAATCTGGATCCTAAACGATTCCTGTCTTCTCTTGTCTCTGTATGAGCGCTTTTGCTTTCTCTGCTGACCCTTTTGCTGCTGTGATCAATCAAGTGTGTACTGTTATTTGCTCTACAGTTTTGCATAACTTACTAGTCATGTTGTGATCCCCAAATACCTCTTTCTAAATTTATGCATACACTTACTTTTAAAGAGTGTTTAGTTGATTTTTTTTACCTTTTCTTCTTTGGCTGGCTGCTTTATAGGTTGATGAACGACAAACTGTTGAAGGCTTGCTACATTCGCTGGGGCTAGGGAAATATGCTATTTATTTCAAGGCTGAGGAAGTAAGTAAGCTAGTTGTATGGTTAACCCTTTTTTAAAGGAAAAAGAGGTGCTCATGAGAGGCAGTGTTATATCTTGATAGTAGTTTGTTTGCTTTCTTTGGTCAATGGTTTTCAAGTACTTCAGTAGTTTGTGCATTAGGAGTATTTGCTGGTTTTTTATTTTATTTTATTGAAATACAGCATCAATAGGGATTTTGGCTGCTCTTTATTTTTTATTTTTTGGGTGGTTGGGGGGAGGGGGGTGTAACTTCAAATGATATTGGTAGGACTGAAGATTACTTGTCAATTTGGATTAAGGGCACCATGTTGTTTTCACAGGACACGTTTCTTGATAATCAAATAGGAGATATGAGAACCAGTACATCCTTGTTGCTTTTGATAATTGCCTTGTTGCTTGGACTTTCTGTTAGAAAGATGCAGGGATAAATCTGTTTCATTTGATTTTACTGATAAAATATCAAAATTTGCTCCGACTTGAGAAATGCTGTAGTTGTAAAATTTGGAATCCATCTTATAAACATGCAAAGCATCTTCAGGAAGCTGTTGGGGACTAATGTTTGCTAACGGACAGTACATAGCAGAAAATGTAGGCTGTTGCTACAGCTATTCATCATGCAAATTTGAAGATGTTTTTAAGTTATTGAACTATCATGGATGGATCATGTGACTTGTATGGAGAATGCTTGCTCGTTTATTTATCCGTATCCTCTTTGCTTGGCTGATCTGTAGTTTGGTATTTTACTCAGGTGGACATGCCTGCATTGAAACAGATGAGGGAAAACGACCTTAAGAGCTGGGAATACCTATGGTATTTTACCCTTCTTTTCTCTATTTGATTGTTTATTAATTTTTTTTTCCTGTTCTTTATGTTCATAATTCATGTGCTCGAACCCGATGCGAAAGTTGTCCCTAACGAATGAGGTTTGATTTGCGCTGCAGGGACCTAGGAAAAAGATTCTTCTTGCTCTCTTGCCTCGTTCCAAAAGGTAACAACGAGTCAACATCCGTGATTATTATTCTCAGAATCCCAAGTAAAACCAGTGTATCTCTCTGCTTTGGAGGTTGGAAAAAATGACCCACGAATCCAATCAGTTCAGGTGACAAAGTTTCGAAACTCGAACACTGCCTACTATGATGAATAAAATTATTGAGATGATTACTAGAAGCAAGGATTCATATCTAACATTTATATGTTTTAATTACTATTGTTATCGAAATTCAAATTAATTGCCTTCCCCTTCACTGTGCTGTTAGAAACTGTTGCATCTCAAATGTTCTGATTTGAAGAGCATGTGTTGTCCCAAATATGTTTTGTTCCTATTGTAGGAAATAACATTATTTCCCCTAAATCATATAGATCGAGTCCGATTTGGTCCTTGGATGTGATGTGGTTCTGAAGGATTGACTGGATAGTTCCGATAAGATTTTATTCATGAACAAAATTTTATTTTCTGATTTATTTCATCAATTTTATGGCTTATTGAATCCGGAGAGGGATTTCAAAACTTCTTTTACAGAGTCAAGTATAAATTCAAAAATCTAAACAAATTAGAACCCACGATGAAACAAGTAAAAGCAAGAACCCGTAAATAAAAATATATTGAATTCTGAAAAACCAAATTGTGGTTCAAGTACCCGTAATTAAAAATGTATTGAATTGTTAAAAACCAATTACAAAAAGAGTAAATTACGCATTTAGTACATAAATTATAATTTTGGTCTTTTAGTACGTAAACAAAATTTTCATTTTTTGCATGTTTTTTAATAATGTACTCTTAAATTCTTTTTCAAAGAGGGAGAAAAATGAAATTTTCACTTGTTAAAACTTTTGACATCTTCAAAATTTATTTTTAACAAATTTTTACAAAATGTTTTTTGTTATATCAAAAAGGGGAGATTGATAAATGTAATTAAATGTTTTTGATATAAAAATGACTAAATTGAAAATTTTGTAAAATTAATATTTTACCATATTCGACTAAAATATTTTTCAGTTTGTAAATTTTTTTTAAGAATCAAAATGTAAAAAATATCTTTAAAAATATTTGAAATTTATAGTCTTAAAAATATGTTTGAAATATGAAACAATACTATTTTTTTAAAGTTTTTTAGCCTGGTTCGAAACCCCCTTAGGTGGTTTCAAAACCCCTAAGGCAGTAGCTAAATTCGTCTTAAGGTTTCAAACCCCCCACAAGTTTCGAAACCCCTAGGTTTAGAAACCCTCCATTCAACGGTTATTTTTTAAGGTAAGTTTCGAAATCTCCCTAGGTGGTTTCGAAACCTTTGTGCATATTTGCATTAAATGCGCAAATTTGATGTTTCAAACAGCTCCAAACTCCCTCCAACAACCATAAATGACTAAAAATCAATGAGGGCATATAAAAGGGGTATTCAAACAGTCAAGAAGAGAGAAGACATTTATTCTAACAATCAAAGAGCAATTAGAGCCAAATTTATATTCCATTGTGTCTTTCTTTCATTGAACACTATTATTCATCATTAATTTTATTCTAGTGTTCTTGAGTGTGCGTGAACTTCATTTTGCAAACAATCTATCTTTGTGAGAATATTCAAAGTTTGCTCAATTTGTAATTTATTCTTAAAAAGAGTTGAACATTTAAGACTTTGGGGTATAAGTGTTAGTGTGTAAGCTTACATCTTGTCCTATAGAACAAATTAGTTTATTGAAATCCTTAGTTAGAAAACTAAGGTAGTGGATGTGGAGTTTATTAAGGAAGTTGAATCACTCTAAAATTCTTGTGTCATTTTCTCTTTTTTATGCTAAAGCTTCCACCAATTTTTTTGCCATTCAACCCCTCTTGATCATTTTCCTTGATTGATTGACTCAACAACTGTTTTGGGATTTAAGCCATTTGTTTACTTTACATGAGAAACTCATCATGAAAGAGCGACGAGTTCTATAAGATGTAATAAATAATTCATCATCACGAGGACATAACAACTTCCATAAAATTTTTCTAAAAGTTACTATAACGAGTTTTATTTTTTTCAGTATATTTTATGAAACTCTTCATTCCCTCATGACGAGTTCTACATATATTGTAACAACCTAGATCTCAAAATATTTTTCACTCACTTTTCAACAACAAAAAATCCACATACAATGCCAAAATTTAATTATTTCTAAGTACGTATTGAACAATGAATAATGACATTTTAGGATAATAAAGAATCCAAATAACATGTAATGGAAAACTGCAGATAATATGTATGGGCATATGGTAAAATATAACAATAAAAGTAAATATCAAATACTATATTAATTGAATATTAGTTTTATAAGTATTTAAATAATTTTCACACTTTTATTCATTAAGGAACAAAAACTAAAGCTCTCTCACACACGTACTACCACCTATCTGGTCCAGTTTATGTTCATGTCTACGATACAGTATTTTTTTTAGCAAATTATATGTAGTTTTTAAATTTTAAACCCTATACAAAGTTTTGTTCGTTCTCATGCAACCGACAACTTTAGCCATTACACACATCCACTGCCCTGCATTTTTTTCCTATATGTTTCCACACAAATTGGAATAAAAATGGTTTATGTAAACGATAGGCACAAATAATTATCAAACTCCACACAATATTCATGGTTTATGTTGAGCATAGATCGATGTTCGAATGGCCTGATGACGGGAAGAGCTTTGCCGTTCACGAGCACTTGCTCCAAGAAATCAACCCGAATTGACTTGAACTTGTAACACTGCAATAATTTCATCCACAGAATGTTCATATTTTGAGCCCCTACTTCCCAACCAAAAAAAAGAGGGTAGGAGAAAATACCTTTTCTTTCCAAGAAAAGTCGACCTGGCGAAAATGGGGATCCAACAAAGTTAGTTGATCTCCTTCTTTAATCTGCGACCAGAAGGTTTGATAGATTCAGATACACAGCTCTGAATGACTAATAATCAGAACCAAAATGAAATAAAAGGAGGCAAAAATAGCACTGAGGCTTGAGTTGATGTAAACAGTGAAGCAGAACTTACCGTATCGTTGCGTATGCCATATACTGATAGAACAAAGCAACTCTGATTTGAATCGCAAGCCAAATAGTAACTGCTAAACCAAAATAAATTTATCTCATAGTTTGCCTAAGAATTCATCAGATAGGAAAGAAAAAATAAATATTGGTTTTAGCTAACACAACAAAAGAAAGCCACATTTTACAACTAAAAACTAAAAACCAAACCTACAAGAATCAGAACCTCAAGCAACCTAAGCCAGAAATAAATCAACTCTGAAACATCTAGAACCCAAAAATCATATTGAAAGTGTTACATCTTTTAAATATCTAAATAGTCTTAAAGCCTGACGAACATTGCCCATAATATATCTAGATCTCAAGATGTAGCACTAACATTTTACATAAGTCCCACATTGTACTTACTTTACCCATAAGAAACCCCAATAGCAATTAAGTTTGCAGCAATATTGCAGGCCAGCATTCTGCTTGCGGAAGTCCATTTAATGATTAGCACAATAGACCATATGACACTATTTTTAGTAACAACACAAACATTACTTATCCATAATTTTGAGATCGTCTCTTAAAAAAAATCATACAAGTTATATAAGCATAGTATAACTTTATAAGCATAAGCTTTACAAAAAGAAAACTCAACAAACAGAGCAAATGGAGAGTGAAGTAGAACTCATACAGGGGGGTAATTCTCATGCTTAACAAACAACAGCACTTTTCCCAGTACAGAACTGCTTTATTCAGACCTTCTGATAGCACATCTATAGTGGCCTTTCTATACGAGGAGTTCACTAACAGAAGAAATGTAAATAAAGGTACTCAGTGCATTCCAATTGATAATAATTTTGGTACGCAGATCACTTGGATAATATAACAAATGACTAAAACACAGTAGAAATATCAGTCTGCTTACAATTAACAGCACCAATTGTTGACGAAGCAAGTCTTTTTGCCTTGGAATGTCCCTGTATAAACCATCTATCAAATTTCAGTGGAAATGATATTACACAACCATCACAGAATGTTAATTGATACCAGTAAGGAAAAGCAAGTATGCTCTCATGATGCTATAATTTACACTAGCGATTTCACAAAACAAGTTTTGCATGCACTCTTTATTATCAAAAGCAACCTATGAAAGCATGCAGCATTATCAATGTGAGAGTGGAATGAAAAGTCAACAAATTGGAAATAGATGTTCACAAGACCATTAAGAAGAGACATCAATTGAACCGTAGACAACAATCAAAATTTGTGGAAACCATCCCCCTATCCCTTGTCTTCTTCCAAGTACCAGACCCACACAAATATGAGAGAAATTATATGGCAACTTAATTTGCTTTTCTGATGAGATTTGATATGGAAAAAACCACAAGTGTTTTTACGTGCAAATATAAACTATAATTGAAATAGTTCACATAGCATTGTAGTCTATTGAGGCTCACTTCTAACTTATATTACCAAATCATTATAATACTAGGGTTTAGGGATATATTCAGCATTTTTGTATCCCTTTAAATTTAGGAAAATACCTATAAGTGTTTATTTTATTCTCAATTTCAAGAAGTCCCTAAATTGTGATAATTAGGATTTGATTTAAACTATTGGCTTCATGCTTCTCCATTTTTTCTACCAATTCTTCTCTCTCAATAGATTCATCTATTTGATCACCCTCTATAGTTTTCTCTGTTTACCCTTTATGTGGCTTTTTTGTTCACCTGTTCTGCATCACTATATTGGGCAATTAGGAATGAATAGTACATATTAGTTTATTTGAAAAAGGATTAAATATGTCAATGGTTTTTCTTTGTACTATTTTAAAATTCAAAAATTTAGTCCCTATACTTTATTTTTGCTACATTGACTATTTTTATTTTGAAAATCTTGGTCCTTCAAAAAGCTGCAAATGTAGATGATTGAAAATTGTATTGTTCAATTAATGGTAATAATTATTTATTTTTAAAGATTAAGGGTCAATTGATAAAAATCTCTAAATGTAGGGGACTGAAAAAGTTATTTTACCCTTTTTATAGCTGCCAGGTCAGCAATTAACACTAATTGCACAGAAGTGGAGCAGGCCAAGATTTTCAAATCAAAAATAGATAGAACTCAATTTTGCAAAAAAAAAAGTATAGGGACTACACTTTAATTTTGATATAGTACATCGACTCCTAGCATTTTAAACCTTTGAAAATGAGGTTTAGGTAGTAGGTTTTAAAAACGAAAAAGAAAAGGA